CCGGAGCAAAAGAGATCCGGAAACCAAAAGGGACAGTCTTCCAGGGGGTCCTCACCTATATACTGGGCATTACGTGTATGTTATGGAATAGATTATTGGCCACTCTGGGTCTCCATCACGAACCTAAGATCAAATCCTGGGCTGGTCACTGGGGCTGTGCTCCCTCCCAGCTTCTCCTGTTTGCAGACAGCCAGAGAAGCTGAAAGACCATGGCAGCCGCGTAAACATCACTTTTTATCAGCTTTCTTCTGAGCACAAATCCCACACACAGCCTCTTGCTAGCTATTAGGAAGAAAGTTAACTCTGTCTCAGCTTAACCCAGGACAGTCATCTGCTCCACGGAGGTGGTGTGGTGGCCCTCATCCCTCAAGGACGTTGGCTAAGGGCATTCACTGAGGCGGAGGATGACAGAGCCACTTGCCTGCGGAGTGTTTTATGAGGAACACAGAGACATCAGCTGTACCATAACTGGCTAGAGCAGAGAAAACACAAGAAACTGGGGGCAGATGAGAGGCACCAAGAGCCTGGCTGGGTCCTTCTGTTTTGCGATGACCTTGTACAAGTTCTTGGTGGGCCCAGCTACTTTGTGCGTACAACACAAACCAGTGGTGCCGCAGCCCAGCCACGGCATAAACCAATGCAACCCTCTAACCCACACTCTCTTTTTAAGCGGTCACATTGGCAGCTGCAACAGGGAGCAATTCCCAGTGTCCCCGTAAGGAGCCACACCAACTGGGTGTAGGTGCGCCCTGTATCTGACAGCAGCAAGGTTTGATCATTAGGTTCTTGCTAGCTTTGGGATTTTTTCCTCCCTTTCAGGCTGCCAACATGCCTGATTCGGAGCTGTTTGAGCTGATCTCAGAGAACCGGTCCATGTCACGCAAGCTGGAGGAGTATGGGGAGCAGAAGTCCACCTCCATCAGCACTGCCAAACGCCTGGCAGAGTTCCTGGGGGACCAGATGGTGAAGGATGCAGGGCTGAGCTGTCGGTTCATCATTTCCAAGAAACCAGAAGGATCTCCAGTCACTGAGAGGTAACCCCATCTTGAGGGGCCAGGGCTTTTGACAGTGTGGGGTCAACCAAGAGGGGAGGGGCAGGGTAGCAGGAGGTGGGTGAGCTGGTGTGGTGTGGCCAAGTGATCCCCTGTCTGCTGGCTCAGATGTGAGCAGGACTAACGATGGGTAATGACGTATAACTGCTGCACAGTGGCCTTGCAGGGGTGGGAGGAGAAGCCTGGAGGGTCTCCGCCGGCTGGGAGAGGGGATCGTGTGCTGCCAGGACCTTGCTCCGGGTGACTAATAAGTGATTCCCTGCCTTCCCCAGGGCCATCCCCCTCGCCATCTTCCAAGCCGAGCCCAGCGTGCGCAAATACTACCTCCGAAAATGGCTAAAGAGCCCCTCGCTGCAGGACTTCAACATCCGTGCGGTGAGTGGGGCATCCCTGTGCATGGGATGTGCCAGCCCTGGGCTTGTCCCTTCGGAGGTGTGACCTGGGCAGGTGCTACTTGCGCTCACAAAGCAGGGTGCTGGGAGCGAGGGTCTCGGGGAGATGCTTGATCCTGCATTTGGTGGCCTTCTGCTCAGCTTTCTTTGCTACCTGCTGCTCTGCCTTCTTCACAGATCCTGGACTGGGACTACTACATTGAGAGACTGGGCAGCACCATCCAGAAAATCATCACCATTCCTGCAGCCCTGCAGCAGGTATGGGGCAGTTGGGGGGGCAGGAGAAGAAGGGCTTTGGTGGGGGGACTCGGTGTGATTTGGAGATGCTCTCCAGGTGAAGAACCCGGTGCCACGGGTCCGGCACCCAGACTGGCTCCACAAGAAACTCCTGGAGAAGAACGATGTGTACAAACAGAAAAAAATCAATGAGCTCTTCACTTCGGAAGGCAAGAGACAGGTAAAGAGGGTGAGGGGAAGGTGCTGGCTGTGCTGGTGGGGCTCTTCTCCTGCAACCCACGTCCTCCTGCTGTCCTTGCTCCCTCAGGTCCTTGCCAACCAGCCCTTGGAGGGAACGCCCAGCTCACAGGTTGGTGACATAGAGGACTTTGGGGCTCCCAAGGCCCTTTAGCCACTGGTTCCTAATGCAAATAAGCGGAAGCGAGTCCCTGCAGCAGAAGAAAGCCAACAGATGTCCCAGTACCTGGAGCTATCCCAGTCCTGGCGAGAGATCCTGGGTCCACCTCCACCACTGGGCACCACCAAGGTAGGTGGAGCAGACTGGGCGGGAGATGACCTGGGGCTGTGCTCGTCCACCCAGGCAGCTTGGGTGCTGCCAGCAGTGAGCTGCGAGTCTCCCGAAACCCTTTGTGTGCCCATGGCTCAGGGCTACAAGGAGAAATATCACCAGGAGATGGAGAAATATAACCACCCATGGAGAAAAAGGGGGCAGTGGTGGCTTCACAGCTGAGGCAAGAACATGATGTGGGGCTGGGGTATGGAGGGCTCAGCTGTGTGGCGCGGTGTTGGGGGGCTGGGAAGCCTGTGCTGGTTTCTGGCTCAACTCATGCACGCTGTCACCCCACGCAGGAATTTTTGGTCTGGGTGCGCTACCACCAGAAGAAGTGGGAGCTGCAGGCTCGGCAGCGGCGGGAGCGGCGGAAGAGGCGGCGTCTGGAGGATGGTGGGGTGATGGCGGGTGGAGGAGTGGTCCGCGATACCCTCTCCAAAGGGCTGAGCAGCTACCTGCGCAGGACAGCGCGCAGCATCCTGGACCTGCCCTGGCAGATCGTGCAGGTACCTGCCACCAAGGGCAGCTGAGGGCATAAGCCTCGCATTTACACTGTCTGTGGTCAAATGGTGAAGTTCATCGTTAACTGCAGGTCCTGCTGGACCCCATGCCCCTCTGGTGTTAACCCAGGGGAGGCCAGGTGGGGCTGCAAAGCCTCAGGCTGACGCGTATCTGTGTGGAAACGGGAGCCCACATGGTCATTCTTGGTGGTGAATCTGGGACGTGCATGTAGATCTGCTAGTGAGACATAGGCAGCACTCTGCAGTAGTCACTGACCACAAAAACACCAGCTGAGGTTGGTGGCAGTTCTGGGGTCCAGCTGGTCCAAGCTCAAGCAGAGCCACCCAGAGCCAGTGGGTGTTGGGTATCTGCAAGGATGGAGTCTCCACAACCTGCCTGGGCAACCTGTGGCAGGGCTCGGTCACCCTCACAGGGAAAAACTGTTTCCTGATGTTTGGAGGGAACCTCCTGTGTTCTAGTTGTCATGGGTAAGCAACGTGGTTGCTCCTTTCCCCCGTCTTTCCCCCTCCCGGCAAGATGGGGGAAAGAATGAGAAAAAAAAAAAAAGGTGGAACCTCGTGAGTTGAGGTAACAACAGATATTAATAATACAATGCGAGAAAAAGAGAAGATAGTAACGAACAGGATTATAGAATGGAAAGACCTCACCACACCAAAATGCCCCACAAAACCCCCACACCCCTCTCCCGGCTAGCTTCCCCTATATCCTGGGCATGACCTATTGCCTCTGGTCCTGCCCCTGGGCAGCAGTGAAATGAGCCAGGGTCCATCCTTCTTGCACATCCCTTCAGATGTTGATATATATTGATGAAATCCCCCTGGGCTTCCTCTGCTCCAGGCTGGACAGTCCCAGCTCTCTCAGCCTTTTCTCATGTGAAAAATGCCTCAGTCCCTTCCTCATCCTTGTGGTGTCCCTTCGTTGGACTCTTTCCAGTATGTCCATGTCTCTCCTGTACTGGGGAGCCCAGCGCTGGGCACAGTGTGCCTGTGATGGACACAGGATTCCAGCGATGCCTGGAAGCAGCCAACATACAAAAGCAGAGGTGGGACGGTGCCATCCAGGTGTTTTCACAAATCCTCGTTACGCATGGCCACCTGAGCCCGGCCCCCTGCCACCCACTTCATCTTCCAGAAAGGCCTCCAGAGCTGCTGCAGCCCTTGTGCGAGCATGAGCTGGAGCTGGGACGGCTGGCCCAGGATGTCAGTGACCTGGCTAACATCAAGGGTCGCCTTGAGTTTCCCAGCCAGCCTTAGCCAGGGAGTTTTCTCCACGGTGCCCTGGGACAGCAGCAGGACATGAGGACTCCAGCACTGAGAGCGAGGGCTCTTTAAGCCCCCTGCTCTCTTTGTGGCCACCAACCGGCCATCTAGACCCACAGAGTGCTCCTCAGCTTAGACATAAGCGCTGATAACATGTTGGATCTCCCTGCTCATGCTAACTTTGTACCCCCGTGTCCTGCAGATCGCTGAGACCAGCCAGCCTGGGCTGTTCCGTCTGTGGGCAGTGATCGGGAGCGACCTGCACTGTATCAGGCTGAGCATCCCCCGGGTCTTCTACGTCAACCAGCGCGTCCCGAAGCCGGAGGAAGGACCAGCCTACAGGAAGGTGAGGACCTGCCCCTTCTGAGGTTAGGTGGTGTTGGGTTGAGGGTTGGACTTGATGATCCTTGAGGTCTTTTCCAACCTTAATGATTCTATGATTCTGGAAGGGGAAACAGCCACTTGCGTTGAGATAAGGCGCTTCACCAATATTACAAGCATCACTCTCCTATTCTGTCCATGTACCTCATCCAGTCTTTGGTCTGTCTGCTAATCCCAGCCTGCCCAGAAAGCAGGTTCTCTGTTATGAGAATTTGTAACGTGCATGAGCATAAACCACGGATTTCCTTAGGAGAGAGGAGCACCAGGAGCTGGGCTGGCTCAGACCCCAGCTCCTTGCAGCCCTTAGAATTGCCCCAGCTCTTGGCAGCGGTGCCACATGGTGTGACATGCCCTGCTGAGCATGTCCCTTGCCTTGGCAGGTGAACAGGATCCTGCCCCGTTCAAATTTAGTTTACAACCTGTATGAATACTCCGTCCCTGAAGACATGTACCAAGAGCACATAAATGAAATCAACGCGGACCTCTCTGCTCCGGACATCGAGGGAGTGTATGAGACACAGGTAACTCCTCTGGGTCCTCGTTTTTAAGGATTAATGAGTGGTAGCTCAATAGTTTGAGTGCCGATGGCACAGGAGAACACCTAGCACTTAAAAATTTAACAATTTGGTGAGACACCAAAGATCAAAGACTCTGCACAGCAGAGTTCCGGGGAGTATGCCCATATTTGTATGGGCAGAGACACTGAATATCAGCAGGTGGTTTAAGGCATGTCAGGCAAAGGGGGTTTGGTTTATCTGGAGTTAGGAAACTTTGGGGAAAGAAGGCAATTAAACAGAAAGGGTGATTTTCCTCTAAACCAAACCAGAACCAGCCTGCTGGTGTTTGAACCAGAAAATATGAGTATGTAAAGATGGAGGAAAGCCCAACACATGTGGAGTCATACATAGGTCTGGGTGCCCTGTCCTCTAAAACAAGGTTATAAAAGCTTTAGAAAGAAGAATGGGTTACAACTGGAAAGTCTGGGAAGAGCCAGAACAACCTAAAGGAAGTTCAGTACAAAGCAATCAAGCCAAAATTAAACTTACCAGAGCTGTTAATGCTGAAAGCCTGAAAGTGAAGGCAGGAAACTGAGATGGATTCTTCTAATGAGGACACTGGTTTGTTCAGCAGCTCAAAAGCTGGTGACAGAAATTTAATCAAGACACTGTAGTGTCAGGACCTGGCCTATATATGGAAGGGGCAGAGTAGGTCGCATCATTGTAAGAACAGAGCTATACGTTAAAGAAAGCATAAAGGCAAGTGAATCTACTTCTAAAATGCAATGTAGAATTATTATGGATCAAAAGTTTTTGCCTAAGTAGGACAAGCTTGGTGTGAGCAGTGGTGCCATTAGCTACGAAATGCTTTGTGAGATGCAAGAGGCTGCAAGGGCAAAAAGAGCATCCTAAAGTTGGGAGACTTTAGCTACTGGTTACTGGTGTAGCCTGGGAAGTGTTACAGTGGGGTGTGATTAAAAAAACCTTAGATTTCTGCTTTTAGAGGATTTGGATAAAGGTCCCACAAGGCAAGGCACAACTCTCAATTTACTAAGCAGCATCCAAAACTTATTTCACGTTACTCTGCCAAAGTGACTGGCATGTACACAAATTCATCATATCTGTAAGAGGTCTTCCATTAGCAAACCTGAATCCTCTCCACTACCATAACGGACCAGGTAAAATCAAGAAGCAGCTAGCTAAGAGGAAGTTAAAACTAGCAAATGGAGTAAAACAAGGCACCTGGAGATGTTTTGCAGATACAAAAGGGAGAGAGATGATCATGGGGTTTCAGCATGTCTTGTGCAGGGGGAGGCTGAGTGAGCCGGGGCTGTTCACCGTGGAGAAGAGGCTTAGGGGACCTTCTGGATGGGAGAAGTAAAGCAGAGGAGCCAGGCTCTTCTCAGTGGTGCCCAGGGAGAGAACGGGAGGCAGCGGGCACAGACTGAAACATGGGAAATTCTATGTAAACATCAGAAAAAACTTCTCCTGCAGGGGTAGTTGAGCAGGTTGGCCAGAAGGTTGTGGAGTTTCTGTCCTCAGAGATACAGAGAACCCAGGTGGCCACAGTCCTGGGCAAGGAAAGATCTGTCTTGATCTTTAAACATCTGCAGTGCAATTCTGAGCGTGGTCTCCAGAAAATGTAGCAGGACTAACACAGGAGAATGACGAGGAGGATGCAAGGGAGGTGAACAGCTTCCTTGTAGTGATGAGACTTAGGGACACTGGAATGCTTTGGCTTGCTGAAGAGATCTGAAAATGGGATGTACTAGGGGTCTATAAAACCAAAACTGGCGTGAGGGAAGCGTGATTAGGCAAGGAATGCTTATTGCTTCTCACTGTTTTGGGACTAGGTCCCACAGCAAGTCATGCAGGACAAGTCTTCTGCAGTGGTGCAGTTTAGAGCTGTAGGGTTAATAAAACAGGGGGAATCAGTGGTGGATCTCTCATTGTGCCAGTTATCTGGTGGTTCAGATGAAGCCTTTGTCTTGAGGAAGTGCCAAACCACAAGTTGCAGAGCTGCAAGATTGCCCAGATATCACTTCACACATCCTCCAAAGTACCTGCTGCTGCCCTTCATGGTGGGATCTGGGCTGAGGCGTGAACACATGTGAATTAAGAATTGAGATACCTGTTCTGTATCTCCAGCACCAGCAAGGGTGCTAATACCAAACTCATGCTTGAGGCACCTCAGATATGTCCTGCCTGTGGTTTTTAAGCTGGGTTGTTCTAGGTCTAAACCCCTGAGAGGAGCTTGGTAGCAGAACGTTGATCCCCCACATCTCTCCCCATGGTTACAGGTGCCGCTGCTGCTCCGTGCCCTGATCCAGCTGGGCTGTGTGTGCATGGTCAGCAGGCAGCTTGTCAGGCACCTGGCGGGGCAAGAAGCTGATACCTTTGACATCGACTACCTGGAGATGCGCTCGCTGGCCCAGTTCACTTACCTGGAGCCAGGTGAGGCACCCTGGGAGGGGGGCTCGTGGGGCACCCAGGACCTGCTGCCCGTGGGTACCACTGATGCTCTGTGCTCTGTGTCCCTAGGAAGCATCCGCCACATCTACCTCTACCACAGCTCCCAGGGCAGCAAGGCGCTCCTGGGCCTCTTCATCCCCGCACAGCGCAAAGCTGCCGTCTTTGTGCTGGACAAGGTAAGGTAGGACTGTGGAGGCTGGAGGATGGGGGGTACTGGTGGATGAAAAGCTGGACGTGAGCTGGCAATGTGCACTTGGAGCCCAGAAACAACCGTGTCCTGGGCGGCATCACCGGCAGCACAAGCAGCAGGGCGAGGGGGGGGGTTCTGCCCCGCGCGTCTGCCT